TGTTAAGAGGTCTTGGTATGTTGAATTTTAACACGTTAGTGTTTTGATTGTAGGAGGAAGTGTTGAACACGTATAGACAGAAACACATTCGTGTTTGGTGTTCTTTTACAACACATGTCAGAGAGCACGGGGAGAGATAATTAAAATAGTCATGAATGAAATAAGAATGTTAAGAGAAAGTATAATTCTATATGTTACTTGCCATTGTCATTGTGTAACATTTCATTAAACTAGTTTTCCTTCCAGATCTCTGGAAGGAACCAGAATTGAATAAAAGCTCCTGTTTAGATGCAGTACAGATGAAAAAAAAAAATTGTTGTATATCCTGGGAGCTGCTATTGTTTGTAAAAACAAATTTCTTTCTTTTAAATTTCTAGTTTCTAGCGAAGTTATGTTTGTAAAAGATTGGCCTCGCGTTAGATTCTAGAGCTAAAAGTTTTCAACAAGGTCGTTTTAGACCTCAGTTTCAAACTAATTAACTCTGGCGGGAAGTATGTAAGGATCTTAAGTTTTACTAACGTTTATTTTATTTTAAATCTTTACTATCACTTCTTATTTTCTACTTCCGGCCAGAATTATAAGCGTTGAAGGTTTTTATGCAAAGTTTGTCTGGCGAACGCCAAGTATTTAAGTTGTGGCCTTTTTGCCAAGCGAGAGAGAGGAAGCAGTTGAGTTCGAAGCAGGCCGCTTACCTTAGAAGTTTTACGCAGTTGCTGGTTTGCCTTCCAGGCCAGAGGTTTTAATCCTCTTGATAAATTTTAAACGTATTGTAGTGTTCACAGTTCTCTGTACTACATACGGCTTCCTGTTAATTATAAGGCCAATCTTCCACGTTTATTATTCTAAAGTTAAATTAGAGTTTAGTTTTATTTTTATACTTTTACGTTAGACCCCCGAGTGGAGGGTCATTGTATTCCGAAGTACGGAAGTTATTGTAATAGAGAAAAATAAAGGGTTTTGTATACCCTTCGTCTGTATCCTGTCTACTTACCACAATTAGTGAACATAGCTTTAGTAAGCTCTCTGTTCCGAGTCAGGTCCTTGTATGTTCCCGAAGAAGGTTTAGAAGGAACATTGAAACATTCTACATAAAATATATAATTCTATATATAAAAATTGAAAAAAAAAGATGCCCAAAAAAATTCTCCGAATTAAATTTCTTATCGATTAAAATAAGTTCGATGGAATACGTTTTACAAAACCTGATTTTTTGGAAACAGCTTATAGTTACAACACAATAAGAGAGCACGAAATATATCCTTAATTTGCTCAGTTAGTAACCTATTTAAATATTATACTTTCAGTTTTCCATCTGTTATACGCTGGTGTTCAAAATTATCTTTATATGTAGAAAAATGACATTTAAAGAATTAAACTATCAGTCTGATGTATGTTTTTATAAAATGAGCAAAAGTCAAACTTGATAAGTAGTTTGATCAATCCATTTTTGAAATGTAAGTAAATGGATTACATCGCGCAAAGACGAGGACAATATTCTAACCGAACACTTTGCCCCATAATTCTGTTATTTAAAATTTGATTTCAGGTCTACTGAATGGAAAAAAGTATATATATGGTAGAAGTATTATTTGAAAAACATTCTGGAGGTGAAAGCTGTTGGCTGTCTAGAAGCAAGGCAAATTAACAATGAAATGACAAGATAACTGAAAGTTTCAAGACAGTGTTCAAAAACAATTTAAAGATTTTGAAACTATTTCAATGACGACGAATCATTGTCATAAAATAAAAATAAATAAATCTATGTCCTTCATAGTAAACAGCTGCAATAGAAACGTGCTTAGGCTACTGAACTTTGTATCGCGACAAACATTGATAGAGGACTTGATGAAAAGGAAGCCGATGGTTTATTTGAGAGTCCTCAAAACAGAAGACCGAAAGCCTGAATTGACGCATAGGGAATTGACATATAGAAGTCTACAATAAGAGTCCTCTGTTTTATTTGGTAACAGTCAAGGTTCAGTTTAACATCTGATTCTTAAAGTCTTTAGATTTGGAGAGAGTCACAATTACAAAATATAACTACCAGCATCAGTGAATATGATCGTAACGGTGAGGCAGATGGGATGGGCTGTTGAGAAATAATGATGAATAGACTGCATGTGTTCAAAAGGATACCTGTACCTGTGCAAAGATACGAATTCAGAATTCTACGTAAGGCTTTTTAGAGGTGCTTTCATGTTTGCTAAAGCATGAAATCAATGAAATCTACTAAGGAAATAAAGGCAATTCCTTGTAGTGTAATGGTCCGTATTCCGCTAGCAACTGTAAGCTCTCGTTTTCAACCTTAGGTGAGGCCACGTTTGATTTTTTAAGAGTCTAGTTCACCAAAAAACAAACAAAAAAATAAAAAATAAATAAATAAATAAAAAAATAAAATAAAATAAACTTCACGACTGTACAGAGACTGCCGAACTAAAATTTGATGGACGATACTCGTCTCCACCACAGTAACCACATTAATCTGAGGGTCTAGGATCTTACCTTCTGCCCCAACTCGCCCATTAAGTGGAAGAAAATATAAAAAGTACGGTAAAAGGTATTATTTTTTCCACGTAGCCTTTTCAGTGCAATGGTTAACACATCTAGCTAGCAGGTGGAAGACTTCTGGTTCGATTTCCAGATAGAATACAAATCATTTTTCAACATTTCTACTCACCAAAAACATACTAACCCTATAGTCATATAGGTAGATAAATTTCTTGAAAAAGACAGTGTTATAAAGTATTTTCTCTCTCCTTTCTAAATGCCTTCGTGGTGTTACGGTAGCACACTCGGCGCATTCGGGAGGGCCAGGTTCGAGTCCCGGCGAAGGCATTGTTCATTTTCCGTGTTTTCTAATATAAAAATATTCTATTGACTCTACAAGTGAATGGATAAACGGCCCAGCAACTCTCTGGTCTGAATCCCAAATAGAACTTATGTGACAGTCTTGGAAGAGCTGTTGCAAGGTGAAATTCTCCTATAAATCTGAATTCTTAAAGAAAATATTGATGAAAGTTGAAACTTAGTCCTTCAAACTCTAATTAACCGCTCACTAATGGCACGAAATTGCTTTACAACATGTGTGTACAAATTAGGGAGACCGCATTCAGTATGAATATTGAAAGTCAGCTCTAAAATGTCATTGTAACCCTTAATTCAGCCTTGTTTCTTTCTAAATATAGTTTTATGCCACATGCACTAATATTCGAGTTTTTAGTTTGTATATTTATGTAATGTAATGCTACGTATCAACCCAAATAAATTTATACAATTTTAGTCAATGTTTTTGCACGTGTAAAAGTAATTTTGGACGTCATTGTATTAACTAAGAGAATGACCGAACTTCGATACATTTACAAGAGTTGAAAAATCTTATTTAATGGTTTTTCGTTAAATCTAATGCACAAAATGGAATCACTTTCCACATTAGTATCAGTTATAAAACAACTATGAAATAAAATTCTGACTTTTCCATTTTAGCTTATAAATACAATAATTTTAGAAATAGCTTATTTTTATTATAGTTATTATGTTTATTGCTTGCTTTCATAGAAAGACTAAGAAAGTATTTTTGAAATATCACGCTTGGAATTCTAAAGTGGTGCAGAATTTAAATCTTCTTAAATTAAGACCAATCGCTAATAATGTCAGCAGAGTTTACTAATTATTGTGTTTACCATGAACTTTATCAATGCATTTAAATTTCTTCCTAGCACGTTCGATTTACATTTACTATATACTACATTTGGACGAAATTTTTGTTTAAATGACGTAAGTACTAACGAAGTGGTGAAATTTAACATTTGGATTAAAAAATAATATACAATGTATCAGATTTTAAAAAGTTAAAAAAACATTCTAATCAATCACATTCAGAAAAAAATGGAAATGAAATCATATTTAAGACAACAGAAGACAATATATTACAACTAATACAATTACATTTAAGAAATAGATTTAACACAATAGCTAGCTAGCTTTTAGCTAGCTAATGTAATACTACCTAAGCTAGGAGCTTTTCAGTTTTTTGCTGTAACATATTTTAAGTCGTAAACCACAAACAGTGGCAAAAATAAAATTTTATTTAATATCTTTTGAATAATTTGTAAGTTTTTTTTCTGTTTCTCTGGCTGTAATTCGCCCTTAGATTAAAGCCAAAATACGGTAAGATTTTAAACCAGAATTGTAAGTTTTTTGCTTGAATTCATGAATAACAATTTTACAATCATAAGCTTCTCAAAACATATTTGGCAGTAGATTATGACAGTTTTTGGTTTAAATGAAAGCTAACTTTGCTAACGCTTTAACTAAATCAGGTATATAACTTTTAAAATAGATAATTCTCTCTAAGCATTGTATAAAATTATTTAGTTAGCAAATTACTTACGTAATGGAAATGACTAATGATTTGAAAAAGAGTACACTATCCGGAACCAAAAAAAAAAATATTTATAATACCGATAGCGATTAAAAACAGAAAGACAGAAAAAAGGATTTTTGGTATGTTTTCTATGTTTCATAACATTTCGAAATTTTATTTAATTTTATAAGCATATGTTTAACAAACTAAAGCTGACTTGGTGAAGTTTGAGCTTCTGTTCGGATCCATAGCTATATACAATTTTGAAACATCTGAGTTATTTACCCGTGGCCCTTTTCTTCCGGAAATAATGCATTAAAAAGTAGAAAATGATTTGTGATGACCTCACGTACTCTGTAACTACAAGTTTATTCCATATTGATTACAGTCTGGCAATATATATTGCACGTTGAATATGTATTAGACATTGATTGCAGTCTTTGAAATGATAGAGGGAAAAAAATCAGATCCAATTTATTTTCGGAGTGTTTATTCTTTTCACCGATTAAGTTTCAAGCCAACCTTAAAATGAAACTAATACTTTTAATGAAAACGTTCTGAATAGCTTAATGGAAGGAACCAAAGAAAAAAATTACAGTACACATATTTATAAAAAACAGGTTAGTAAGATACTTACACATGACCAATTTCATGAGCGATAGTAAATGCTGCACTGAGGCCATTATCTTCAACAACCGCGCAACTGCTTTCCCTGTCACATGCCATTCCGGACTGCGCAAGGCCTACGAAACGAAATCTTACTAAAATACTTTTACTGTGACTCACTAATATAACGGTTGTAAGCAATAAGCATTCAAAATGAAATATTATACTTGCAAAGTGAAGTCGTCTGTGAGATCGGCAAATGTAATTGTACAATTACTATTCTGTTAGGTACTTCGATTTTCGAAAAATATTTAGAAATAAAAGTAAAATTTAAACCTTGAAATTTTATACATTGCGTAGACTGCATGTTTAGATGGGAATTTTCTAAAAATTAAGACAGCAGTAATTAAAAATAAAAAGCTAATTTTAAATTTAAGGTTTCGTTCTAAAAATAAAAATGAAAACATTAGCTAAAGCGTTATAAACAAGTTAATATATGAATTAAGAAATTTCTCTTGAGCTAACATAACACAAAATATCTAAGTAAACATAACAGCAATTAAAAAGTTAAATAAATAATTTACTGGAATAATTTTGTTGCATGCGATCCAAATTACCAAACTAATTTCAGAACTGCGAAGTAAAAGAACCCTATTAGGCGACAATTAAATGATTATTCTCTACCGAGGTAAGTAATATATGACATTAGGAAAGCGTTTATTAATTACAATAATGGTACAAATATCTATAAAACTGATTTAAATATATTGTGAATCAAATAAATTACATGGATTGCAAATTACATAAATTAGGTACATAAACAAAAAATAAAAATAAAGACGCAAATTATTAGACGTACATAGCTTTTAAATTGCTCAGTTTGTTAAGTAGAATATTGCTTTATATATTTTGGAACATCGAATGGTGATACCTCTGTGAATTGGCAATATGCCAGGCTGCGTGAAGGCTAAATGAAAGATCTTATACATGTTGAATGGCTATACTTGTCTGGTCACGTGGATGATAAATAGTAGCACCGCGTAATGTAACGAGACAGTGGGAACGGAAAACATTAAGTTAGAAATATCCGCAACGTCAAAATGACAATGCATACCCAACGGATGTATAGCTAAACGTTTAATAAAAGCAACGTTTTTAAGAATGTAATGTTCAAAATGCTGCTAAATAATGGGATACTCAAAATATTAATTTTAAGTATGTCCTGTGCTTTTGTACAGAACTCACCAATTACCAAAAACTAAGCAATTAAACAATGCGATGGCAGTTCAGGGATTTTGCCCGTTTTTGCTTGACCAACTTATTATTTCACTTGTAAGTCACAGTCAGGTTTTAGTTGCGAATACTTATTAAAATAACCGCCGTTGTGCAAACCCATGTAACTTGAAACCATTCAACGTAAGTATCATTAGCTCTATACACGAAATCAAAACAGGTAACACGAAGCGGTTGAAAAAATACACGGAGATCATTAAAGCATTAATAGTGCTTAATACTGACTTACTGAAGATGGGGTAACTATTATTCGTTTAAAAGCTGAAGGAATATGTATCAAACTAGTAAATGAAACCCGAGGTGGAAAATTTTCAATTTTGAACTCAACTTTAATACCAGTTTTGTATAAATCATGACAAAATGACATTAACATTTTAACATTTGGTATAGTATATACCAAATGTTAAAAAGCTATTTGAAAAGGCTACCTCATTTAAATCCTGGTACAATTAGGACTTTTGGATTACCTACTGGAAATTTTGAATAATAGTCCAGATGCTAGTACAGTAGGCTCCCCTTGAGATGATCACATTTGTCCGCGACTATTGGTAACATTAAACGATCAGAAAAATTTCCTTCAAATTATTAATGGAATTTAATTAATTTAATATAAGTAGAATTAGAAATATGTAAATATTTACTTTCACAGTATTTTAATCAAGAAAAAAGGTATTAATGGTGTTGATGATCTGGAAACACATTCATTTATGAACTGTTCATAATCATAATGTTTTTGGATATTTGTTTTAAAAAGCAACAGGCAGTTTTCTTCTTCTGTTAATGACATTGCAACTTCAATTTATTCATCAATATCCACCAAAGCGTTCAATTCCTCACAGATTGAGAAATTTTTAATTATTCAGCTTCCTTTATTTCATCATTTATTAAAAGGTTGGCATGTTTAAAACAGTTCTTTATCGCCTTTTCTGAAACGCGGTTGCAAATGTTGCTTGAAAACAAAATAAAGATTCTTGGTAACTTAATTCTTTACTCAGCGACATGTCTCTGTTATTTGAAAATATCCTTACAATATTTAGGCCTTATTCTGTGATTTCATTTTTTACTTGACGGCATTGATTTAGTTTAAAAAATTCATTCTGTAATATATTGATACCATTAAGTGACCAGTTGATCACGATAAGGGATGCATTTCCCATGTTTTCATTCACAAACGGGCGGCACTTCGAAAATTCGATAACACTATCCGAAAGATAACATTAACCGTGATTACATTAAGCGACGCTTACTGCAGTTGATAACTTGATGAGAAACTACATCTTGCCATTGCGATAAGCAAAATGAAAATCTCCATTTAACGTGTTATAATTTAATAACATTTTTAGTCACCATATAAGGTATTTCTCCTGCCTTCTTGGCATGTCTTAGTGGTATGTTGGTCTGCAAGCTGGGCGCGTATTCCAGAGGTCCGTGGTTCGATTATTGGCGAAGGCGGTTACTAATTTTTCATCTTGAATGCTTCAAGAAAAAATACCTAATGTCTCTACAACCATTTTATTAGCTTTTTCTTCTAAACACTATACTCCTTTTCGTATTAATGGCATTGAAAAGCTTGATAATTTAGAGAAACTACGCACAGAAAAGCTTCAAGATACATTTTGAACAAATGAATTTACCAGGATAAAAATCAGAAAACAGAACATCATTCTATAACAATGCAGTAAATGAACTTGCCTGCTTTAGTACTTTAAGTGTGAGTTAAAGAGTGTTCTGACCAACGCATGACTTTTGAATTTCATAAATCATGAAGACAGAGAGCCTAAAATGATAACTTATTTCATGGTATATTTAATTTAAGAAATTCATTCGCAGTTAGAATACAATTAGCCGCCTTTATGTTTTCAGAAAGCGATGAAAGTAATACAGATTTGACAATGGCATGCTTAAATTTATATAAACTTCTTATTTCATAATTGATATTGTAAAACTAAATACAACACAACATAAACTAACTGCATTCAGAATATATGTTTATTAACTAACGAATAAAACAATTACACTGTAGGGTTTATATTTATTTTAACTAACATTTATTTTAAGTTTAAACTACCTTTCCTGTCAAGCCTTACTTTTTCCCTGGAACTGCCAATGCCAGAGTATGTAAATTTTAGTAGAACGCGCAAGGATTCAAATTATCAGCGGAAGTATTCTGAGTTAAAATAGAAAGGAAACGAGTTCAAGGTGTGCTGTTCTTACTTCACGACCGCGGAGGTAGTTAGCCAGAAATTGAAGACCTCGCGTTTCGGCCTGTGTGCTTGCCTGGAAGTATTGTTAATCGTTCAACGGATCTTCAAGTTTGCTGAATTAGCAGCGGTATTGTAAAACGCGGTGAGGTTAGTTACTTTTAGAGAGCCTCATAGTTAGAGTCTTGTCTTTAGTTTCTTTTCAGGTTATTATTTTTATTTGACCGCCGAATTGGCGCAGTTTGTGAGCGTCAAGAGCACGCACTTGTAATTTATTACGTTGAATAAAAAGGGGCTTAAACCCTTAACAAGACTCTGTCTTTTATCCAGTTTTCACAGTCACCTCTTGGTTGCGTGCAAGTTAGAGGCGCGCAACGCTACATTGGCGCCCGAACTCTTATCGAACTGAAATGGCCAAAAATTGGATGGAAGCCGCTCAACAACACCAAGAAATGACAAGCTAAGTGGAAGGATTTGGATACCTGGTCCAGACTTTGAGAGCGTCAATCAAGCCAAACGTCCATTTCGACGGAAAAAATTCGGTGGCGGTATTTCTAGAAGGTCTAGAAAACCACTTTCAGCTCTACCCTGTTCCTGAAAGACAAAAAGTTGCCATCGCCACATCTGCACTAAGAGGACAGGCCGCGCTATGGTGGAAGAATATAGGCAAATTTTTATTAGGGGAATTCGGAGGCCAGACATATACATTTGAAAATTTCAAAAAATCGTTAGTAAAGGCCTTCCCCATAGTGAAAGATCGAGCAAGGCTGGAAACCGAACTATATAGTTTCTATCAACGGGATATAGAAGATTTGACGGACTTTATTCTACGAAAAATTAAGCTGACGGATATGCTGTATGGGAAGAAACCCGATGCGGAAATTATTGAAATAATCTTACCAAGATTGTTACCCACTGTTCAAGACTACTTCGAAATTAGAAACCCAAGCACATTGCAGGAGCTCTTCGAATAGGCGGTGAAGTTTCAAAATCGCAGAATAGCGGAAAAAGCTAGAGGGGCAACGTATTCTCAAAGTACCCGAAGGAAATCTTCAAATGAGGAAGCCAGAAATGGAAATCGCTCTTATGGGGGAAAGAGCTATCAAGCTAACTCATCGAAACTCGAAGGTCAAGGCCCAAAAAGAAGATTCGAAAATAAACATCCGCGTACCCAGAAGGCACAGATTGAAAGGAAAGCTTTAAACGAGTAGAGGGGCCTGTGAAAGGGAGGGTCCAGACCCCGGAAGTTTTTAAAAAAACCCTCAAAAAGACATTAAATACGGTCATCGTAAAAAACTCACATATACCAATTATACAAGTCCTGGTTGGCGATGTACCAGTAGAAGCCCTCATCGATACAGGAGCAGAAGAAGGGAAAATTTTTCAAAAATGAAGCGAATAGGTACGATTATTTAAAACCAAAAATACGGAAATTATAGCGGCGCAAGGAAAAACATGTCACTGCATCGGGAAATTATCATTAAACATACAGGTAAAAGAGGAAAGCCTCAAAGTATTAATTTTTGTAGTGAAAAATCTGCAAAATCTCTTATTTTAGGTATGGAGTTTTTTAAGGGCCGCGAGGGCCAAATTGAATTTTCAAGACAGTTCCGTGGTACTGGAGATGGACCAGAGGTGGTGGA